TTAAGAGGTTCTGATTGCGCGAGTTTCCAATAAGTGAAAAATCTCAAGTTAAAGCCATTCATAAATCTATGCTGGTTTTGTTTGTAGCATGACTACCACTGCCCTAAACTGGGTTTCCTCTTTTAAATATCTTTTTCGACAGAAGAGATACAAATTTAATGAATTTAGTCACAATAAAATTAGCATTGAAAATACAAATTCCCTAAGAGGATCATAAGTAAACGCAATAAATGTATAATATTAGTCATATTCTCTAAGGTCATAAAATACATACGCTCAGCTATTGACAATAGAGTATTATCTTATTTGACATTTTTTAATGTAACTTAGAATTACGATAAATGCTTGCTCATGTAGTTAATTTGGCATAAGCCTTCAGTTTTCCGCCATGTTTTTTAAAATAGGGACTTTTGACATTAAAGACAATCAGCCAGTTGTTGCAACTTAATGAGAAGGCCGAGCGACAAGGCTTTTACGGCAAACTTTATCCGTGCCTTTTGTGTTTGCATGATCGTTGTGTTTAGGGTTAGTTATAAAAGGCCAAAGCCTCAAGAATCATATCGTAGGAAGAAACTAGATATTCCAGTATAAAGTCATGGCATTTGCAGAAACCAGATTTCTTTCTGATACTGGCTTCGTCATTATTCAGACAAAAAGCATCTTGTCTCCTGCGATGAACAGGATGGACAGTACCCTCTAACACAAAGTCCGGAATAATTAAAATCGACCCTGAGGTTAAAAGGTAATGGCATAATTCGTAACACTATAACAATTCTGCTTTAAGCTGCCATCCTACTGGAAAATTTATATAGATTTTACTATCCCATTCATGACTAAGGGCGGATAAGATAAGCATTATATAATGTTTTGAGCCCAAAGGGGATAGATCCCGATGGCAAATGTAGTAATGGGATACAATTAGTTACTATGGATACCCTTAATATCTGCCAAAACAGGCGATTAAAGGTATAAAAGTAATCTCGAAGAAAATAAACTTGTATATGTATAGAGTAAGCACTAACTAACTAGGTAAATAGTTGTTATATTTAGTATAGATATACCAAAGATCACAGAAAATTAAAAATAAAATTTACTTCGCCCATATTAACAAAAGGAACTGTGACCTGACTAGAAAGTTATACCTTGTGTTACAATATACTATTTTTCATATTAAAGTAGAGTTTCGAGACTACCAGAAAATCAGTAATATGAGATGTATTCACCCAATTTAATGGTGGGTTTGCACATGAAGAAAATTTGTTTTGGGTATAACAATTGACTACATTAATTATTTTCGGTTTAAAGTAGGTGTTGGAGAATTTTACTTCAATATACTTAATCTTGCTTTAATTGCGGGCTCCTAAACCATTGTAACAGACTGGAAAATTTTATTTAGCAGCAAAGCCTATATTACCACACTGTAAAAGTGAATTTCTTTTAGATTGCAACAACGCCTCCACTAAAAAAATTTGCTAGTTAAATAATGGTATAATATTTCCTAACAAACCTTCTACTACTCTAGAATTAAAAAGAAATAATAAGTTTATCCAATATTCCTAATATGCAATCTTAAGAATTCAAGGTATTAAACTTTGATATTTTTAATGTTTAACGAAAAAATTCCTAATTTGCTATATATGCAAGCAAATTCTAATGAAAGCCGAATAGGCCCCAGTATATTTTATTACCCAGCTCGGCCTCATAATCGATTGATTGTATAAAAAACGTCAAGCTAGCCTCCTTTCTTAAGATTTATATTTATCTTTGATAAGTTTTAAGAAGCTATACATACTAATTTAAACATTAACTTATATTTTATTGGGCAAAATTGCTGGTCTTCGAAATAGATTTAATGTCTTTCTTTTCGATAAGTTGCTGAGTAAGATAGGGCTATTTACAGACGTTGATTGACCTTCAAATGAAGTTCTATGCAGTAGGGATGTTGGATTGAATTCAGCTATGAAATGACAATATTTTTCGGTTATGGCATCAAAGACGTATCAGCGAATTTTGAATGAATCACGCGCAAGGCATAACAAAAAGATCTTGCTATGTGCATGCACAATAGATGCCAACATTAAATGAATTTTTGAGATGAAGTCGCAGGCTATATCGACACTATATGAAATTTCAATAGCCCGTCTTTATGTCTACAAAATTTGTTACTGTGTTAAATGTACTCTTTATTTAGGAAAAAAGAAATGCAACAATATTTAAAAGGTTTTAAAATCATTATAATTTATTTATAAATAATGATAACGCGTGAAGTATTCTTTGCAGTATCCCGTTAAGGAATTTATAAATAAACACCCCTAAGAAATGATGATATTTTTTTCGAGAAAAAGACTTATTATTTTCCTTTTTCAATGTATCTGTAGGCACTTACTTCTTATAACACTTAACTGCTTTTTACTAAGGGTTGTCCTTGTAAAAAGAAATAAAGCAGTTAACTAGAGCCAAAAATATATAGGTTATCTATTCACTACGTACAAAGATAGCTTATATCTGGAGTTACCTTCACAACAGGAGGCGTAAATGTCATGGTAAGGAATTGTTCTAGTGCATGTACCCCCAAAAAGGAGTGCGATGACCGGTATGACTAATTTGGAACTAATATTCTCAAAAGTCAGTAAGCCTGGCAACAATTTCCATGATAAATCACAAATAGGTTCCTCATTTTTCAAAGCTAAGAGAATATATTTTATGAAATAAGAGGTTCTTGGAGTCTTTTTGGTGGTGCTGATTTGACTTAGGCAGAGTCAACACTTTAGTCCATTCTGAATAAAAGTGCCTTTTGAGAGGCAAGGAATTGTAAATTTAATAAACTAGTAAGTCCCTTTAATTTCTTTGTGAGAAATTCAACAATCATTCCTTCATCATCTTATACAACATGATATTACTGTGTATCTTAGCAACTATTATTAGTAGTATTCGTATTTTTATTGTTATTTGTCTTTGAGACCTGACATAGCATGGTGAGCAATCTGGTGAGGACCCTAACACTGAACGAGATACGCCGCATAGCCTGGATTTATTCTTAATCATTCTTCGCTAATTTCATTAGGAAATGACTTAAACAAAAGTAAAACACATCATGTTTTTGACTCGGTGGCAGGGTGTTATATAACGATAATGTTATGGAGAGGTGAAGGAAGATTATTTACTTCGGAGTTCATATTCTAAAGATCAGTCTAAACCTTTGAATTATACCAGAAATTTTCGTCCTCACTGGAATATAAGGAAAGTTTATTGACAGCTGGTACGTCATACATTCGCATACTCATTCAAGATTTTCATACTTAAGGTCCAACAGGCTTGTGATTATATGCTTCATAAGTATGAACAATTCTGAGGAGTGGTGAATAAACTTCGGGAGTTGAAAATCTATGCAGAAAGTGCCCGATACGTTTTCACTTTCTGCATTATTTAGCTATTTTACTCTCAAAGAGATAGCTAGGCTTTCAATTATTCAGTCCTGCGCTAGCCAGTCGCATATACGAATATCTACGCTAGAGTTAAACAATTAATTATATTAATTAATTTGCCATTTCATGTGACGTATTGGTTTAGCCTAAATTTGATCATAAGTTGTGGATTTCCATTCATTCTGCTGCGTTTTACCTACTCATATGGCCCAAGCACCGTCTATGAGAAATACTTTTCGCTATTATTACAGAATCGTTTTTAAGGTCAAATAGAGAAAAACTATTTTTTCGATATGTAGTTCAAAACATAATAGCTGCTTTAACCTTGAACTTGGTCAATGCACTTGCTCTTTGCCTTAATTGACAACGAAATGTGGTTCGAGTTGACACCTCACTACAATTGTATTAAGCTGGACATTCGTTTTTTGAGAAAGCTTTAAGACAAGAATGTTCTAGCCTGAATAATAGAAATAATCCTACTCGTCTATAATGGTTCTTATGTTTGGTTCTGTTTAGGTTATTTGATTTAAATATGAAAATGTCATGCTTTATGTTGAACACTTAATTTCTTCTAAGTTTATTTTCATTTAGATTTTCAACGAATAAAGATAAAAACGGACGAATTTTAAACAGGATAAATGTCAACTACCCTAGCTAAAATGACAGCTGTGGGTAATCAAAAAAAACATCTGTGTTGTAGATTATTCGTAACTAGTCCTTGCGAGAAAGACCTACATCAAATAGGCCAGAATACGTCTCATCTCAATAATTGCCGCTGGTCATGCTAATAACGGGGTTTTTCATTTAGTCATAATCTTATTCACACAAACTGAAAATAAATGTTCTTATGCGCACAAAAAAATCATTTTGTTTGCTCGGCATACTTTGCTTTGGCGGTCCACATAGATGAAGGTTAGCATCAGCAGCTAAGCTTAATGATTACGGTATTTTTGGGAACTATAGGTAAAGTATTTTCCCATGACGAGAGATTTTCCTTTTTTTCTCTTTGTAAATAGCCTGTGTTTTAGCAATCAAGAGTTCACTTTAACCTGGCAACCATTTTTACAAAAAGATGGCTGGAACCTAGGCTCTTATTACTTGACAGCCAGGCCTGTAAAAACGCTTAACTTAACTCCTTGACCAAAAAAATTTTATCAACCCAAAACTTCTTTTTACCTTTAAATCAGCGAAACTAATAGAATAAACTAACTTCAGGCTACTCTCAAATTTCTTTGCTACCTACAAGGCAAATGCCTTGCCGGTTGTAGTAAACAAAGAAATGAATAATTTGGAGCTGTAAAAAATAGTAACCATAGGTGCCCATTATATGCTGCTTTGTCGAGATAAGTAATTCTAGTTTTATGTGACCGAAGGCTCATCTCTTTGTCATTATGTAGCTTTCATCGAAAGCCTTATCACTGT